GAGGGGAAGCAGGAGGTACAGCTGCTCAGAGCATGCATTCTGAAATTGAACTTCCTGGGCCTGACTTCTGCTCTACCACTTACCACCATATAACTTTGTGCCACTCACTTAACCTCTCTAGACATCAGTTTCTATTTATATAAAATGTGAAAAATGGTATATAACAGGGTAAAGCTTAACTGAGATAATGTATGTAAAATGTAAGGTACAATGCCAATGGGACTTCAAAAAACTCAATAAATATTATCAATAGGGCAATTCTTATTACTGCATTTCTATATTGTCATATTTTCTAAAAGTATTGTCAAATACTTTTTAAATCAAATAAATATTGCTTTAAAAATATCAGCATCTTCTTATCTTTATAAGTGATTTTTTAAAAAATCTTCTAAGAACATCAAATAGAATATGATTGTTGAGGTTACAGTATCAAAAAAATACTTCTATGACCTAATACATGTTCTTCATCCTTGGGCTCTAGTGAGAGGTATATAGTATTTATAAATATTATTATTATTCTCAGTTCTTCTGAAGTCAAATGCAGAAATTTCTGGAAAACCATAAGCCATGAATTAGATGGAACTTTCTGATTTTCTTTGCACAGACTTTCAAGGATTAGAATTCCACTTCTAGGAAGTAGGTTAAGTGATTTTGCTGAGGCAGATACCAAATACTCTTCTTGAAATATATACCAATTCCAAGTTTTATTAAATATGCCTACATGTGCTTCCAGACCATGTATTGGTATATTTCAACATTTATTGAATAGGGTGTTCTTTCCCCAATTTATGTTTCTGTATGCTTTGTTGAAGATCAGTTTGCTGCAAGAATTTGGCTTTATTTTTGGGTTCTGTATTCTGTTCCATTGGTCAACATGTCTGTTTTTATATCAGCACCATGTTCTTTTGGTAACTATAGTCTTGTAGTTGAAGTTGGGTAAGGTGATGCCATCAGATTTGTTCTTTTTGCTTAGTATTAATTGGCTGTGTGGGCTCTTTTTTGGTTCCATATGAATTTTGGAATTTGTTTTTCTAGTTCTGTGAAGAATGCTGATGACATTTTGCTGGAGATCGCATTGAATCTGTACATTGCTTTGGACAGTATGGCCATTTTCACTATATTGATTATTTCCATTTATGAGCATGGGATGTCTTTCCATTTGTTTGTTTTTTGAAATTTTGAATGACATTTCAAAAATTGTTTAAAAAAATGTGCTCTTAATCCTGGGGTCTCAGAAATACTTATTACAAGCCTACAGAAAGCAAAATTAGCTGACTATGCAGATAGTCTAGGAAAGAAAAACAGAGATGGATACATTCCTAGAGTCAATTTTCTAATTCCCAAATGTTTTTGTGAATACACTTCTATTTTTATTTCAATGGTGTTTGGAGGACAGGTGGTTTTAGTTACATGGATATGTTCTTCAGTTGTAATTTCCCAGATTTTAATGCACCTGTCACCCAAGCAATGTACATTGTACCCAGTATATGGTCTTTTATCCTGCATTCTCCTTTGAACTGTTCCCCTCAAATCCCCAGTTTGTTATATCATGCTTATGCCTTTGCATGCTCGCAGCTTAGCTCCCACTTATACATGAGAACATACAGTATTTGACCTTTTCATCCCTGAGGCACTTCCTTTAGGATAATGGCCTCCAGCTCCATCCAAGTTGCTGCAAAAGATATTATTTCATTTCTATTTATGGCTGAGTAGTTTTCCATTGTGTATATATACTACATGCTCTTTATCCGCTCATTAGTTGATGGTCACTTAGGTTGGTTCTACATCTTTGCAACTGTGAATTATGCTGTTACAAACATGTGCATGTGTCTTTTTCGTATAATGGCTTCTTTTCCTCTGGGTAGATATCCAGTAGTGGGATTGCTGGATTGTATGGTAGTTCTACTGTTAGTTTTTAAAGGAATCTCCAGACTGTTTTCCATAGGTTGTACCATTTACATTCCCACCAACACAATAAAAGCATAAAAGTATTCCCTTTTTACCACATTCGCAACATTTATTGTTTTCGACTTTTAATTATAGTCATTCTTGCAGAAGTAAGGTGGTATCTCATTGTGATTTTACTTTGTATTTCCCTGAAAATTAGTGATGTTGAGCATTTTTTCATGTTTATTGACTGTGTATCTTATTTTAAGAATTGTCTATTCATGTCCTTTGCCCATTTTTGGATGGGATTATTTGTTTCTTTCTGGTTAATTTGGTTCCGTTCCTTGTAGATTCTAGATATTAGTCCTTTGTCAGGTGCATAGTTTGTGAATATTTTCTCCTCCCACTCTGTGGGTTGTCTGTTTACTTTGCTGAATATTTCTTTTGCTATGCAGAAGCTTTTAGTTTAATTAGATTACATTTATTTACTTTTGTTTTTGTTGCATTTGCTTTTGAGGTCTTAGTCATGAATTCTTTCCCTGAGCCAATGTCTCATCTAGAAGAGTTTTACCAATGTTATCTTCTACAATTTTTATGGTTTCAGGTCATAGACACAAGTCTATGACACATTTTTAGTTAATTTTTGTATAAGGGGAAAGATGAGGATCCAGTTTCATTCTTCTACACGTGGCTTCCTAGTTTTCCCAGCAACATTTATTGAAGAGGTGTCCTTTCCCCGATTTATGTTTTTGTAGACTTTGTTGAAGATCAATTGGCTGTAAGTATTTGGCTTAATTTCTGGGTTCTTACTCTGTTCCATTGGTCTACATGCCTATTTTTATACCAGCACCATGCTGTTTGGGTAATTATAGTTCTTGTAGTGTAATTTGAAGTTGGGTAAAGTGATACCTTCAGATTTGTTCCTTCTATCAGTATTGCTTTGGCTGTGTGGGCTCTTTCTTGGTTCCGTATAAATTTTAGGAGTTTTTTTCTAGTTCTGTGAAGAATGCTGATGACATTTTGATGGGGTTGCACTAAATCTGTAGATTGCTTTGAGCGGTATGGTCATTTTCACTATATCGATTCTTCTTATTTATGAGCATGGGTTGTCTTTCCATTTGTTTGTGTCATCTATGATTTCTTTTAACATTGTTTTGTAGTTTTCCTTGTAGAGATCTTTCACCTCCTTGGTTAAGTATATTCCTATGTATTTTATTTTATTTTTTGTAGCTGTTTTAAAAGGGATTGAGTTCTTGATTTGATTCTCAACTTGTTAATTGTTGGTGTTTAGCAGTGCTACTGACTTGTGAATATTGATTTTATACCAAACTTTTGATGCTTGTTTTTAAAGGCAGAGTGTAAAGACTCACTATGAGTGACACACATACACTGTACACACAATGACAATAACACCTTTAATTTCTCAATTAATTTTATTAACCTAATCAAAAACAAGTTATCTGTTTTGTTCCTGATATACAAGTTATCTGATAAACAAATTATCCGAATTTGCCTTCAGATATTTTTAGCAAGGAACATGACCAAATATGAAATAAATTACTATGTCTTATAGTTTTTTGCTTGTTTATTTTTTCTTTTATGAAGCAACTCTTGTATTTTCAATGCACAGTCATTTGGGAACATCCAAACTCTGACCATATTTATGTGGCATGACATTTAGCAAGCTGCAAACACAATCTGAAAGTGCTTTCTCTGACTTCATTTCTCATACACATCATCACAAGAAAACAAACGACGGATGTAAATATCTATTTTCAAAAGGCATTTCATCTGACATCATCTTACAGTTTTTGTAATCATTTGGAGAAAAATTTTAAATAGCATGTGCTCAGGGATTCAATCCAATTTTTATAAAGTTTGGCTGAATACTTCACTTCTTCTTCAAAAGCACATAATGGTTCCTTACAGCCTAAAGTCAAGGTACCAAAATCTGTAACTTGGTTTTCAAGAACTTGCACAGTCTTCACCTAGCTTTCTGGACATCTTTTCTACAATATCACTTCTCCCATAATTCATGTCTACAGTCTCTTACCAGAAACAGCTGGGGCCAAGTGTGTTTTGTAATTCAGGTTTTTGGGGAACAAGGTGGTATTTTTTTTAAAGTTATACAGTTAATGTATAACATATTAGCAAAATCCATGTATGTTAGGGCTGCACCTGTAATGAAACACATTGATACTTCTTTGGTAAAATCTATAAATAGTCTTATAAGTGGGATAAATGAAGATTATAAATAGCTTCCTGTCAATTCAGGTCAGGGTGTACCTTAAGGAAAAACAACATATGCATAATGGTTTTCAAAGCTTCTTGAATTTAGAAATTAAAGATAGTAAAATGTAAGCCTGCACTTGCTTTACTTTGACATAGACTTTTGAACTTTTGAACCTTTGTTCATTTTCTTTCCTTAGCCAAAAATGCCCTCTGTGCCTCTTCTAGTTTAATAAAGTTAATCAGCCGGGCACGGTGGCTCAAGCCTGTAATCCCAGCACTTTGGGAGGCTGAGGCGGGTGGATCACGAGGTCAAGAGATCGAGACCATCCTGGTCAACGTGGTGAAACCCCGTCTCTACTAAAAATACAAAAAATTAGCTGGGCATGGTGGCGCGTGCCTTTAGTCCCAGCTACTCAGGAGGCTGAGGCAGGAGAATTGCCTGAACCCAGGAGGCGGAGGTTGCGGTGAGCCGAGATCGTGCCATTGCACTCCAGCCTGGGTAACAAGAGCGAAACTCCGTCTCAAAATAAAATAAAATAAAATAAAATAAAATAAAATAAAAATAATAAAGTTAATCGTGGGACAGTCTAAAGGTCAACTCTTCCATAAAACCTGAAGTCAGAAGCACCCCATTTTCCTCTGTTGTCTGCATGCATACTTCTCTCTGTAGGCTAGAAAGTCCATAAGGAACAGCTCTGTGTCTGATTTGCATTGCATAATGTCATTTCTGTTAGTGTATTTTTCCTTAAAAGAATATACAAATTGGATGACGCAGGCCTACTTGAAAACATAAATGTCGACAAAGCAAACCAGAAGCATCCAGCGTCCCATCTCTATTCCTCTTTATTTATTTTTATAAGATGACAGGTTTTTATTTTTCATATCAGATGGGTAATGTACTGATGTCCTGACATTGTTCAAGGGTGGCACATCTCACACATGCATGTGAACACTCAACTATCTTGCTTCTCAACTACAAAATGATCAGGTTTGATTTAAAAAAAAAAAAAAAAAAAACTAATTTTACTCAGAACATACTTTTTCTGGTCAAATATTTCATAATGATTCTAAGAAAAAAGCATAAGTAGTAAACTTGCTAGCTTTCCATTCAAGCTCATCATACTGAGAAAACTTCAAAGAAGCCGGTTTTAGGTTACTGGAGTGCTCAGGAAATGTGAGTTTTTAAAAAATTAACTTAGACATTACACTCCTGATTTTTTCTAATCCTTTAATAATATTTCTATCACTTGTAGAAGCAAAAGCAGATTGTAAGCTCTTTATTTTTATTTTATTTTGCTTTTAGATGGAGTATCTACTGCTCAGGCTGGAGCACAGTGGTGTGATCTTGCCTCACTGCAACCTCTGCCTCCCAGGTTCAAGAGATTCTCGTGTCAGCCTCTCAAGTAGCTGGGATTACAGGCGCGTGCCACCACACCTGACTAGTTTTTGTATTTTTAGAAAAGATGGGGTTTCACAGTGTTGGCCAGACTGGTACTGAACTCCTGACCTCAAAAGATCTGCCCGCCTTGGCCTCCCAAAACACTGGGATTACAGGCATCAGCTCCCATGCTTTTTAGTCTATTAAAAATATATCTTTTTATTTGATGTTCTTTGCAGTGCTCTTTGCAGACAATTAAGAGTGGCTGATAATTTCTTCTATGACTAAATAATACTAATTGTGGATAAAATCATTTTATATTACGTATTTTAGAACAATTTAATAATAATAACAATAATACAAGAACTATTTTCCGGCCAGGCGTAGTAGCTCATGCCTGTAATCCCAGCACTTTGGGAGGCCAAAGTGAGTGGATCATGAGGTCAGGAGTTCAAGACTATCCTGGCCAAGATCATGAAATCCCATCTCCTCTAAAAACACAAAAATTAGCTGAGCATGGTGGTGTGTGCTTGTAATCCCAGCTACTTGGGAGTCTGAGGCAGGAGAATCACTTGAACCCGGGAAGCCAAGGTTGCAGTGAGCCAAGATTGTGCCACTGCACTTTAGTCTGACAACAGGGAGAGACTCCACCTCAAAAAAAAAAAAAAAAAGAGAGAGAGAAATATTATTTTTCTAATATTGGAGATTTGGGGACATTTCTCCAAATAGGAATACCACCTTACTAGTGTAAGTTTCAATGGATACTTTGAGTTCAAGTCTAACTTTTATCTTACACAGTTTATAATCTTATATTTTATTTCTACAATTTAGTTGACTATAATATGAAGTAATATTTCTGACTCCTTTTGTAATAAATCATTATTAGGATATTTTATAAAATGAAACAAATAAGAAACGAATAAAATGCTTCCTATAGGTAATAGCAGGAATAATATATAAGGTATGTTTTGGCTATGGCAGGGGATTTGAAGATTAATGCTAAAAATATCTAGATCACAAAATCAACTATAATAAGCCAAAAATAGGTTTTCCACATTGGGTACTAGTCTTTATATGAAGTAGCTATCCTAATATACAGTATTGTATAATATCTCACTAGCCATCCATCCACCCAATCTTTCATCCATATATCCATAGGGAAAAATTTCTTAAGAAGATAGTTCAATTAAGGAGAACAGGTCCTCTTTCTTCAGCAAAGTATCTTGGTAGATAAGAAAATCCACAAACGAGTCAGAAAGAAATTTGAGAGTAAGACTGGAGAAAATTGAATTAATCTGCAGAATAAAGTGCGAAGAATTTGGAGCTCCTGTGAGCCATCTGGAAGGGACTAAGGAAAACTGAAAACCATGGTAAGAGGCTGGAGTCTGAGGTATAGAAATGGCCAAGACTTTTTCTGAGAACAAGGATAGCTAGACAATCTCTAAAATGAAGTAATTTTACAGAAGCAGAATTCAGAGCCAGAGAAGACCATGAAAACATAAACTCACACTGAAAATCTGCATACAACTTGGTGGTGGTTGGGGTGGACAATATTGAACTCTCTAAAATTCATAGAATGGAGCTAAAACCAATCTTAGCTAGGTCTTAATTAATTGGTACAATGAATTTAGCTATATCTGAGAAACATAAACATACACACACATGTATTCATATGAAGCAAGTGTTCTAGAGCTCATTTATTCAATAACCCCAAATATCTGCCACATCAACTGAGAGAAGTTGCAAAGAAGGGACAAAAGAAAGACATCTAACTACTCACAAATACTGTCATAAAATTGCAGCAATAAATTTTACACAGTTTGTAGGGTTGCATATGTCCTAGTGCAATATATGTTTATATTTTTACAAATTCTATTTACTTTTTTGCATATGACTCTACAAGGCTATTTCACCATGCTCAACAGACTAGAACTATATCCTACACAACAAATCCAGCAAACTGCCTGTTTTGGAAAATAAAGTTTCACTAGAACACAGCCATAACCATTTGTTTATCTGTGGTCTATGCTGTTTCAGGCTACAACCTCAGAGTCGAGTGACTGTGACAAAGGCTATATGGTCCATAAAGCCTAATATATTTACCATCTGGCTCTTAGCAGAAAAGGACTGCTAACCTCTGATCAAGAAGCAAAAGTTGAAATAGACAGACTTAAAAATATGTGATGAGAAATAACTATTTTATGACAGAAAGTCATTTCTGCATGATTCTTTTTTAATTATTTGAATTTCTTTGTTAAATTTTCCTGATGGCATTCTGAATTTCTTCTCTATATTATCTTCTATTTCATTGAGCTTCGTTAAAACAGCTATTTTGAATTCTCTATATGGAAGATCGCATATCTCTGTCCTTCTAGGATTAATTGCTGCTCCCTTACTTAGTTCATTTGGTGAGGTCATATTTTCCTAGATAGTCTTGATACTTGTGGATGTCTTTCAGTGTCTGGTCATTAAAGAGCTGGGTATTTATTGTAGTCTTCACAGTCTGGGTTTTTTTTGTTTGTTTGTTTGTTTTTCAACTGCCCTTCTTGGGAAGGCTTTCCAGGTATTCAAAGGCACTTGGGTGTTGTAATTTAAGTTTTTGGTCACTGTAGCCCTATCTGTATTAGGGAGCACCTCAACCCCAGTAACAATACGGATCCTGCAAATCTGATCCAACACCACCAAAGAAGTGTCCCTTTGGTGGTGTTGGATCAGATCTGGACGAATTGTCTGGATTACCAGTAAAAGACTCTTGTTGTCTTCCCTTACTTTCTCCCAAGCAAATGGAGTCACCTCTCTGTGCTGAGCTGACTAGAGCTAGAAGAGGGGTGACACAAGTACCCCTGTTGTCACTACTATTGGGACTGCACTGGGTCAGACCTCTCAGAAGGATGAGCTAATTTACATGAGTCAACTGTCCAGACATAAAAACTTACTCCTTTTAGAATAAAGCCTCTTCTAAAAAATAAAATATCAGAGAGGGAGGAAGAGCAAGATGGCCAAATAGAAGTCTACTGAAGCTAGTATGGCACTGAATCTCACCCAAGGCCTTTGGTCACTACCACCTGACTATTACCTATGCTTACCCAAAGCCCTAGGGCTCTATAATCATCAGGTGACAAAGCCACCATGACTTGTGTCCTTGCATTCCAAATGGTGACTGTGCTCCAGAACCAATCATGTCCAGAGATGTTGTTCAGAAGCCAGGGCCTTAAATCAGAAACCTTAGGAATCTACCTGGTATTCTATTCTACTGTGGCTGAGCTGGCACCCAAGCCACAAGACTAAGTCCTTCACATTCTTCTCTTTCTTTTCTATGAGCACAGAGTTTCTCCCTGTGGCCACCCCTGCCCCAGGCCCATGGTGAGTACTGCCTGGCTACCACTGATGTTCACTCAAGGCCCAAGGGCTCTTCAGTCAGCTTATTGGTGAATGCTGCCATGCTGGGGACTCTCTTTTCAGGACAATGGGATCCCCTCTGGCCCAGGCTAGGTCCAGAAATGCCACTCAAGAACCAAGGCCCATAATGGGGACTCCAAGAGTCTACTCGATACTCCACCTCATTGTGGCTGAGCTGATACCTAAGTTTAACAAAGCGAAGGAGTCTCTCCCCATAGCCATCACAGCTGGGAATGTGCTGGGTCTCACCTGAAGCCAGCATGTCCCTGAGTCTCACCCAAGGCCCACGGTGAGTACTGCCCAGCTCCACTGCTGACTGTTTAAGGCCCAAAGGCTCCTTTGTCAGCAGATGATGACTCATACCGGGACTGGATTCTTCTCTACAAGGGAGTGGATTCCATTTTGGCCCAGGGTGTGTCTAGAAATGTCATCCTGGAATTAAGGTCTGGGATGGCCTCAGGACTCTGCCCAGTGCCCTATCTTACTGTGGCTGAGCTGGTACCCAAGTTGCAAGTAAAGTAGAAGGAAGAAGTGCCTCCCAGAGCTGCAAGCTGCACTGCCTGGGGTTGGGGGACAGATAGTGCAAGCACTCCCTTGGCTGTTCAAGCTGATGTCTCACTAGGTCACAGGCCCCCCATGTTCACTGGTTCTGAACAGTTCTCCTTTGCTATGGCTGGTCTAATTGCTCCCTCCATTGGCTTTGGCTGAGTTCTGCCTGGTGTTGCTGTCTGCTATGACAGGGCAGAACTGAGTTCCAATGCAAAGTCTCACAATCACTGTGCTCTCCCTCTTCCAAGCACACAGATTTTTTTCTCCATGCCACACATCTGCCAATGGGGGGACAAGGAGGGGTAGTGTTAACAATTCAAGGCTGTCTTTTCCAGCCTCTTCAGTGCCTCTTTCAGCAATATGAAGTTAAAACCAGGCACTGTAATTGCCTGATTTTGGATTCTTATGAAGGTGCTTTTTTTATGTGGATAGTTGTTCAATTTGTTATTCTTACTGGGAGGACAATCAGTGAAGGGCTTCTATTTGGCCATCTTGCTCTGTCTCCCTCTCTGATATTTTAATTTTTAGAAGAGACTTTATTCTAAAAGGAGTAAGTCTTGATATCTGGACAGTTGACTCATGTAAATTATCTCATCCTTCTGAGAATGTTACTACAAATTTATTTTCAGTATTAAATTTATCCAAAGAGCTATTTAACA